CCCCCTTAAAATATGTTTGTTAGCGCAACATCAAATTCGTTCATCCTGAATGAGAACTGAACACTCCAGTAATAACTTTCACCACTCCTCTACAAAACCATTCAAAGGCACAACCCATAGGACGGTATGTCAAGTTCACCTCCCTCATGATCACGGTCACAGAGTCACTTAAAATAGCGGCAAGAAGATGAACCAATCATAATTCTCTTGAGCACTCCGCTGGATTGCTCCGTTGATCACATACTTTTGGAATTGAATAGCGTACAGTCTATCGCGTTTATTTTTAGACTGCCTACTGTGGGCTCAGGGGCGGCTCGTGGGTCTAAAAAGTAGGCGTGCACAATTAGGTTAGAGCAGGTTGAAGATAGTCAAGGGCATGTAAATTAGATGTTTTCTTCATCCTACCTGTTTTGAGAAAATCTATTTGAAGAAGAAGCTTTCCTTTCGTTCTTGGGCTTGAGCAAAAGTGTCCATTATTGTGTTGACGAAGTTGGGTATGTTGTCAATGATATCCTTGTGGATCGACATAAACGTACGTCAGTGCGATTTCTGGTATTTTGCATACTTCTCTAAATGATGTCTCGAATTTGTAGTTCTTCAGAGTTGAAGAAAGGCCCTGGATTATACATGTACGACACTGAGCAGATTTAATTGTTTCATTGCAATGTAATACTTATAATTCTGTTTGTAATTTGATTTTAAGCAAAACAGTAATATTTCTGTAAACGATCCTAAGAGAACTGTTGGAAACGACTTTTGATACTTCTGGAATTTGGATGAATCGCAGATTGAGAGTGCATTGATTTTATTTTGCTTCGAGAAACTGTCACAATTTGAGTAATTATTATGTCACAGGCCTACTTTGCAGCAATTTCGTTGGGGTTGTTGTGTCTGCGTCTCTTGGAAGCGTGTTTCTCTGTTGTCTGTCTTGTTGATGGAACAAGTATACTGTTTCTCATTTCATCGAAAGCTACTTTAAACGTGTCTAGAACTTGTTGGGCTGCTATGGGTGTTGTACTTCTGTGTTAGAGGATCCCATAAACAGCGTCAACGTGCGTGTATACTTTGTTGAAAAAGTGCAAAAAGAAGAGAAATGCTTCGCTCTTTAATACATTCAGGATACCATCGTGAATGGAATTATCATCCCAGTGCTCAGACTGAATTTCTTCAAAACAGAGCTGGATCTCTCCTTTCCAAATGAAAACTGTGCTTATTAGTCGAGACTGTAAATTCCACCTTGTTTCAGATGGCCATGGAATATTCCGGTGACAAACACCGGTGCATTTTGTAGAGTGGGCAAAAAATGTCGAAGAGCCTGCATAGCATTAGCGAAAAATACCTCAGTTCCCCGACAAATCACCCTTTTTATGACCGCGAAGGGTGAGTTCGTGAGTTTCACAGGACAAAATACACTAGACAACCTTACACAATACGTGTTTATTCTTTCTCACCAGTTCTTTATTGTGAGGCGTTGCAATGCGATGACCTACGACTAGCTGCGCTGCTATGTCTACATGTCCGAAAGTATGATACTTAACGGCATTTTTTACGTGCGCTCTTGATGACTTTCGACTTTAATGCGTTGTTTCAATTGGACAAGATCAGTAAAACCTGTCTTAGACTAGATCTACTTGGGGTCCTCAGTTCCAAAAAGCAGACAGGAGAAACAGTAGGCCTAATCTAGGTCTACAAGGAATATAATTTGTTGTGTAAGCCACTCCACTTTTTATTCATTGTGTTATTTTGATATCTTTAGTTTGGTGAGGACTTAATTCATTCACCCTTTTCTTTTTACTTTGTTTGGTGAACTGAATTCATTTGCAATCAACTTCATTCATCCTGCATTGGAATACACACTCGAGTAATAAAACTTTCACCACTACACCATTCCAACTTCTAACACAATGACCTAATTACGTCATGTTGACCTCGCTCAAGTTCAGGGTTACAGAGGTGGGGCTAGAGATATAAATGGCAAGACAATGGACCAATCGCACATCGCTGGGAGCACTCCGGTGGATTGCCCCAAAGCTATCATAATACGGGCATTGAATTGTGTAGGCTGTCGTGAACTGGTTTGAGATTGCGTTATTTTTAGACTGCGTCTATGGGCTTTGTTCGGCTGGAGCACATCGAGATTGTGCCGCCTTATTAATATTTATGAACTAAGAAACTCGGTCAAAACGTCATCGTTGTTTGGGTCGTCCCATAGAGCATTTTCCGAGATAGATTACACACCTGAACATACTATTTTTTACTTGGGTGAAGCAAAAGAACTTGGTAGATCTATGTAATATTAGATGTTGTAGAGCTGTTGTAGATGTTGTAAGGAGCGAATAGGCTCTGGCGAGGAACCTGTACGTAAAACTGATTGGATGATGGATGGTAAAGGTTCTTTTGTTGTCACTTTGAAGGTGTTGTGCGCTAAAATTTTTGGGCGGCAGTGCACGACCGTGCTCTATGGACCAGCCGCCCCTGTGTGGGCTATGTTTCGGCACTATTCGGCAGGAGCATATTTGAGATGTGCCGGCTTATTAATATTAATGTACCGGCAAACTCGCTACGAGTGTCGTCATTGCTTGGGTTATCCCAAATACCGATTTATAGGTCAGGTTACTAGTGTTGAATATCCCATTATGTTTAGTTAAAGCGTGTGGACTTTGGCAGGGCATAGTAGATGTTTCATGGCGCTATAGACATAGAAATGATAGTTACGGTGCAAGCGAGAACCTTGTTTTGATATTATATTTGGCTAGTGCTTGTTTCTTGCTTCTTTTATTTTATGTTTGTGGGTGCTTTACGTAATAGAATATTTTTTAAAAATTGGGCGGCACTGCACGACCGTGCTCTATGGACGAACCGCGCCTGGCCACTATTTATACGAGGAAGGGGGGGGGGGGCACAAAAATAGGTATAAAAGTTATGAAAAAAGATAATACTCATTGCATTTATTACACAAACAAAGAAGGGCATATGACAATATCATACTTAAAATAAAAATAAAAAAGTGAGGAATCCGAGTGAGGAATCAAAAAATTGTGGGGCTTAGAGCCATTGCTGTTCTCTGCTGAAAACAGGAAGGAAAATTTTGAAGCGGTTTCATAATTCAAAAAGAAAAGAGGAAGGACTAAAGTTAGAAATTAATATTCCGATGCCCTCACTGAAAGCACAGTTGGAGTTGGCCCTACACGTAGGAAAAAAACTGGAGAGATAATATTCACTGGCCTTCAGAAAAGTGTCTGTGTAGACATCTCTGTCTGTCTGTCAGTCTGTCTGTCTCTCTGTCTCTGTCTGTCTGTCTGTCTGTCTGTCTGTCTGTCTGTCTGTCTGTCTGTCT